AATTTTCCACCTAGAAAATATTGTACTTTTCCATATTTAGGTGTTTGATAGACATTATTTTCCATGGAAATGGTCGTTTTTTCCAACATTTGTTGTTTGATAGCAACTATGTTCCATGGAACTTGTCACTTTTTCCATGGAAATTGTCACTTTTTCCATGAAAATTGTTTAATCAAGGGAAACAAACCCAGACAAATTTACTAATTAATTGAATTCATCAACTTTTATCATATATGTATTCAACATTTACCAACCAATTGATTTTTTTTAAAGTAAGAAATTTTAAAATAAATTGAAAATAACAAAAGCATTACATACAAACCATTTATAAGTTAAAAAAAACCAAGTATCCCCTTCATCTGCATTTGAAACGGTGCATTATGGTAGCAACATGCATTTGTAATAACAAAACAGGCATCAGTAATGTATACTCTAAGAAAAAAATCCAACAAGCAAAATATAAAGAGATTTCATTATTACAACTTTAAAACCATTTAAAACAATGTTTCACCATCAATCTGCCACCTAAATTGAGCTTTAACCAATCTAGGAACATTTGCCTCCCAAAAAAATGCCACAGACTAATAAAGTTCAATGAATCTCTATTGTTAGAAAGTAGTAATTTAAACCAACATAGACATCACACTTTTACGTATGGTGTTGAATTATCCAAGTACACCATCCTAAAGTAGAGGAGGTGGATCACAGCCAAGCTTCCCATATACCAAATCTCGCATGAAATCTTTATCGGTCAAGCTCATAAATACTCTAGCCTGACTCTCATCCGACACAAATACTTTCATAACTTGCAGTATGTCACGTTTGTCTATGTTCATGCCTTGTAATTTTTCTAGAACCAATTGCCAATTGATGTGGTTTAGCTCTATAGCAGCAGCAATTCTTTTAGACGATTCGGTAATGCTGGATAGGGCAATGAGGCTCTCATCATGGGATTCTGTACGTCGACATCATATTTTGTTGGTTCCTCCTTTAGTGTTACGCTTCAGACTGTGGACTGGGCTTCAATCCATATCCTCGTTTTGATCGTAAACTTCATTCACATTTTCATCTGAAATATAATAAAAAAATAACTTGTTAGAATCTTTTTATATAATATGAATAGTATATATTTATTATTTACGATCTTTTACATACCATGAATGGGGGAGAAATTGTCATTGCCGGTTACAGCGCAATCGCATGTAGCAGAATCATTTCCAAAGATAGCCTCCAAATCATCATGACAAGGACAAAGTTTAGTCCTCCACTTTCCGAATTCTGTTTTTCCCTACAAAAAAAGAGGGGTTATGTTATATACGTTGTCAATGTCCAAAAGAAACTATGGTATGAAAATGTAATAACTAATAATATCATTGGTCGATGAAATATTATACCTTAAGAAACTGCTCCCGGGAAAATCTGCTGTAACACGTCCAGTGTTAGGATCCAACCCAAAACCACTCATATTTAACAACTGGTGAACTTCAACATATTCTTTTTTTAGAGTCTTCAATCATGCCATTACAGTCTTATCTGACACCATAACTCCACATCCATTGTACACGCTCTCAATTGCTTTAGACACATGATATGATGAAAAGCCATTGTCACTCCTTTTGTGACCAGTCAATAGCTAATGCAATAGTACAATTATCATACAACCATCCATTGCATCACTCCAACGTACATGACGGGTCCTAGAATTAGGATCCACTTGGTTTGAGCTTATTTCCTCTACATCTAAATGGGTGGTTGGTCTTCGAACTCGAAAAGGTGCCGTAGAGTTTTTTCGATTATGTGCCATGAAATCTCTATTACAATATTAAAAGTTTATAGTCAACCATTACATAATAGCATGTAAAAAATATACGCCAACAATATATTTCCATTAACAGAAATTCCAATTACAACATTTAAAAATCTAGCAAACTTATGTCCACCATTACATAAAGACATGAGAAAATTCTATCCAATATATTAATGTGGTAATTGGGGCAAATGG